CCCCAAAACCCCAAAACCCCAAAACCCCAAAACCCCAAAACCCCAAAACCCCAAATTTTATTCTTTAACAGGTTATACAAATAGTATGGACTTTAGCGAAGAAGTAGAGCTCAAGAGGTCAAAGAAGAGAAATGAAAGCAAGGTGCCAAATCTGCCACCTATAACCCCTGCGGTTAGGAATACTCCCGAAGTTGTTCAAGCACCTGGAAAGGGACCTAATTTTGAAACGCTTGGAGCTGATTCTTTGAGGCAAATCCCTGATTCTCCTAAGGCGAGAGATATAGACTTTGATCAACCCAGAGGTAAGCCTTTGAGATCATTCGGTGGTTTTGTTTGGTTCATAAATCCTTTAAAATTCTTCACAATTTTCTACACAATCCATTTGGTTAGACTAAACATAGGTCGCTCAAAAATGGGTACAAGAGATCAGAATTTCAGACTTGATGAATCAAGGAATGAAGATTGGGCAAAAAAGGAAGATATCGAAGCCCTAGAGAAAGAATCACCTGAAAAGGCTGATAAAGGCAAGGCTAGAGAATACAGACAAGCCCAGATGCTTCATGATAAAATCCAAAACACAACATTTTCATACTGGAAATCATCTGTTGAAACGATTGTAGAAAATAGTGAGTCTCACTCATCTTTTGGAATTTATCTATTTTTCCTGAAACGGTTGGCATTTACAATATTCCTAAGTCTCTTTTCAATTTGCCAGGTGGCTTATCTGCTGACATGAGACTTCTACGATGATAAAGATATTCGGTAAGGATTTTAGTTTACACACAAAATTCCATTCTCTTATATCAAATCCAAAACCATTTTCAGCCCAGAAATACTGATCTTGTTTAATAGGTTTGGGATTGAAAAAACTACCCTTGGCAATCTCGATGGTCTTGATTACAAAGCTGTGGGAAGTTTTACAAAGGAACTTCAGATAGAAAATTCAGAGAAAGGAAGGGATGTCCTTCTCTCCTGTCAAATTCTCTTCAGCATTCTCTTCCTTCTCTTCATTTTGTATCATATAACTATGGTTAATTATGAGTCGAGAAGAGTAAAGAATCTTCAGAATGGGACAAAGTGGAGACAACTGGATGAAAAGCCTCATCCACTCAGTATCAAAGAGTTCTCAGTACTCATTACCAGTATCGATAAGAATTACCAAGGAGACATCATCTCTGACGTTAAGAACACTCTCAATAAATATGGTGGCTATAGGTGAGCTTCTTCTTTTAATTTTTAGAGGTTTGATTGAAGTAGTACCATTTCAAGAATATGGCACATTGCTGAAGAACCAACTTAAGATCAACCAAATCCAGCAAAATTTGAGTGACCTTCAAGCTAAGGAAATCCTTAAGGAAACTTCGATGACTAAAAGAATAGAAAAATTAGAGCTAAAACTCGATAAACTTAACAAAGCTCAATTAGAAATATTCGAAAATTTTGATGAAACCAAGCCTCCTAGAGAAGTCTGAGTTCTTTTCAATAAGCTAAAAGATCGTAATGAATGCTTAGATGTTTATTCTCCATACTCTAACTGGTGGTCAAAGCCTTCAAAGATGCCACAAGAGATGAAACTCAATTCCAAATATGGCTTTAAAGTTCAAGAAGGAATCGAACCTTTCGAGATTAACCTTGAGTAAGACTCCTTACTAAATTTATAGACAAGATTCGTTCTGGAAATTCAAAAGTCTGTCTTTCTGGCTAAAATCCGGATATATCCTCACCATAGTCATATTAGTGTGCTTGATCAGTTCTTTCTGCTTGAGCGTGACTATTGGAGAAGTCAAAGACGTGTACAACGAGTTTCCCAACTATAAAGACTGAAAAGAATACTTATTTACAGAAAGTGTTGTAGTTGCATCAACAACCTCCTCAACTGCCACGGTTCCCAGCACTCCTGATGAAATTCAGTGCTTCTGTAGATATCACGGCAAGGATGTGATCGAATCTAATGGAGGCACTAATTCTAGTCTCACTGGAATAAGAACTATGTGAGACACTTGGCTTGAAAATTATGATAAAATCTACATTAATGTATTCATTGCTACTGGTGTAATGCTTTGTGTCAGCATATTTATAACTTATTCCATCAAAATTGCATTTAGCAAGAAGATACTACTCTTTCGAGGAAAGACAGTTAACAATATTTTAGTTAGCGTTTTGGTATTCTTGTTACATTCATGGTTTATTGGAGTCTACCCAATTCTAGTTTTCGATTCAAAAGAGCACTCAATGCCTAGAGAATGGTATCTGAAAACAGGAATGCTGTACTTATGGTACTTCTTCGCTCTTCTGGTGATATACCCTCTAGAAGTATTTTCCTGAGTTCTTCTAACAAAACTGTTTCAAAAGGTACAACAAAAGAAAGCAATACTACAGAAAGAGCTTAACAAAGAATTTGAAGGAGCAGAATTAGACTACTCCCATAAGATTGGAAGACTCATATCTCATTTCCTGATCTGCTTCGTGTTGTCACCTGGATTACCCCTCCTTCCTCTAATCTTCTACGTTAACCTTCTCATATATTGCTTCATTGAGAAGGCGCTAATCCTGAGTTTCTACAGAAGGATGGAAGCAATCACAAATTTTATAAGGCAATTAACCATCCAGACTCTCTGCATCGTGTTTATTTCTACATGAGTAATGTCAATAGCCATGTATGGAAATGAGGAGATCTTTCCCACTGAGACCAAGACAGAGTCAGGTTTAGTCTTTGGGCTGACTCTTGATTACTATATACCTGAAAGCCGGAACTTTATTGACAAAATCTTTGCTCTCACTGGGATTCCCTTTCTTTGAATTATCATTTTTGGAATGTGAATATACATTTTCCTATGTTTAGCGCATAAAGATAAAGCAGTTCTCAAACAATTTAAGCACTTTGCTCTGATGTGGCACCCGTTGAGAGTTGAATCAAGAACTCTTGACAATACTCTTGTGTACTCCTCAAAGAGTTATGACCCAAAAGAGTCTGAGAAATATTCAGAATCACTTGAAAAAATTGATAAGAAATTTAATAGAGAAGAGAGCAAGCAGCCAAGGTAAGTTTAAATCTGATTTTTAGAGTTCGAAATGATGTATCAGTCTCATTCAATAATGATCCAAATGGAACTGGGAGAAAGCTTACATCTCAAGGTAAGAAAGCTGTTTAATTTGATAAATTAAGATTTTGTCTTGTATTTTTAACTAATGCCTCGTTTAAATATTTTTAGCTTCTGCTGTTTTATAGCTGATTCTGGAGTTTTAAATTTCTAAAAATTATAGTTGATGCCAATCTAAACCCTCTCTACTATGATGCTGAGATGCCAGATCCTGCAAAAGAGGTCTCTCCAATTCAGGAGGAAGAGAAAGAGCATGAACTTGAGCAAGTAATACAACTGGCTAAATAATGTGTTGTAAAATTTCTGATGATTTTCAATATAAAACGCCCAAAATGGGGTTTTGGGGTTTTGGGGTTTTGGGGTTTTGGGGTTTTGGGGTTTTGGGGTTTTGGGG